AGTAGAGTAGAGTAGAGTAGAGTAGAGTAGAGTAGAGTAGAGTAGAATATAGAATAGAATTCTCCAAGCGAAGAATAGAATAAAATAGAAAATAGAATAGAATAGGAATATAGAATAGAAAATAGAATAGAGAATAGACTATAGAATAGAATAGAAAATAGAATAGAATAGTATAGAATAGACTATAGAATAGAATAGAATAGAATAGAATAGAATAGAATAGAATAGAATAACAGAGTTGGAAGGGACCTTGGAGGTCTACTAGTCCAACCCCCTGCTTATAGGAAACCCTGTACCATTCCAGACAAATGGTTATCCAATCTCTTCTTAAAAACTTCCAGTGTTGGAGGATCCACAACTTCTGAAGGCAAGTTGTTCCACTGGCTAATTGTTCTAATCTTGATCATTCTGTTTTCTTAGGCACAAGCAAACAAAATTGCTTCACAACTAGGCAACTGCTATTGGAAGATTCTTATAGTCTGAACTTTTTAATCGTGATGGAGTTTCAACACAACGGGTGGCATGGGAAGGGTGTGGGTAAATCCGGTGTGCTTAGCGTAGTGTTGAATTCCCAACCCTTTGCAGCACAATGAGATGCATCCTGATGCATTTTTCATTGATTGGGAATTATGTCATAAGTGCTGCAGATAATGACAGTAGAAGTCGTAAGTAGGTGGAGCAGCTTTGAAGAGCAGAAGAACCAGAAAAGTGATGCTCTCCACAGAAAAACAGAATAACAGAGTTGGAAGGGACCTTGGCGGTCTTCTAGTCCAGTGGTCGCCAACTGGGGGGCCAGGGACCACTGGTGGTCCATGAGAAAATTTTGGTGGTCCACAGAGAAATGCCCCCCCCAAAGCACCCCTCAAAGCAATTAATCCAGGCTGCACAGGAATACAAGGCTGCGCCACCCACATGGCCCACCCACCCACTGGCCCCCACCCTTCAGCCGAGTGCAAACCTTATCTTGAGTAGAGCCACGCGAGCTGGAACTGGAAGGTAAGACCAACGGCGGGGGAGGGAAATCCGCCCCAGGGTGGCTTGCTGACGTTGGTGGGAAAGTCGGTCCCATATTCCAGAGCGGCAGTAGTCACAGGACTGGCCCTTTGGTCATCCCGGAGCACCTCCTCCAGTCTATAGCAGGCCGGTGCACCCAGGTGGAGGAGCAGCTGCTCCAGGATGACCAGAGGGCCAGTCCTCTGACTACTGCAGCTCTGGAATATGGGGGCAACTTTCCCACCAACATCAGCAAGATACCGTCAGTCAAAATTCATATTAGTGGTCCGCAGGATTTAAAATTATGAGTTTGGTGGTCCCTGACGTCCAAAAGGTTGGCGACCCCTGTTCTAGTCCAGCCCTCTGCTCAAGCAGCAAACCCTCTGCTATTTCAAACAAACAGTTGTCCGATCTCTTTTTAAAAACTTCCAGCACTGGAGCATTTACAACTTCAGGAGGCAAGTCATTCCACTGATTAATTGTTCTGACTGTCAGGAAATTCCTCTTTAGTTCTAAGTTGCTTCTCTCCTTGATTAGTTTCCATCCGTTGCTTCTTCTCCTGCCCTCAGGTGCTTTGGAGAATAGTTTGACCCCTTCTTCTTTGTGGCAGCTCCTCAAATACTGCAACACGGCTATTATGTCTCCTCTAGTCTTTTTTGCTGCCCTTCTCTGTCCATAGTCTCCAGTCTATGAAAGCTTAAACCATTAACATTTCTTGGTTTGTATATCATGCTTTTTAAAATGACTTTTTGTGTCATGACACTTTTTTTTTATCTAGCAAATACATTTACTCTCTGATGGTCAGTAACCTCCTCTTCCTTCCTCTCCCTCTTCTCATTTTCCTTCCCCTCCTCCTCCTCCTCCTGTCACCACATTAGAAAAAGATGTTGAGATTCTAGAAAGAATGCAGAGAAGAGCAACCAAGCTTTTTATGGGTGGCTGGAGGCTAAAACATACAATGAACAGTTGCAGGAACTAGGCCTGGCTAGTCTAGTGAAGAGAAGGACTGGGGAGACAGGATAGCAGTCTTCCAATATTTGAGGGGCTGCCACAGAGAGGAGGAAGGGGGTCAAGCTATTTTCTAAAGCGCCCGTAGGCCAGACAAGGAATAATGGATGGAAACTGAAGAAGGAGAGATTCACCCTGGAAATAAGGAGAAACTTTCTGACAGTGAGGACAATCGACCCATGGAACAGAAGTTGTGGGAGCTTCATTCCTGGAAGCTTTCAAGAAGAGACTGGACTGCCCTCTGTCAGAAATAGTGTAGGGTCTCTGCTTGGGCAAGGGGTTGGACTAGATGACCTTCAAGGTCCCTTGCAACTCTTGTTATTCTACTCTACTCTACTCTACTCCACTCCACTTTCTCCTCTTCCTCCTCTTTTCCCTCCTCCTTCTCTTCTTCCTCCTCGTCCTCCTCCTCCTCCCTCATCTCTTCTTCCTCCCTGGCATAGAAGCTGCAGTTCTTGTTTTGATTCCTTGACTTCCAGCATGTGCCTCACTGATTTCTCCCTCCTTCTTTCTCCAACCTTGCAGTCAGAAACACGTAGACTAGCTAAAAAGTGTAACTGGACCGTGCACCAGGTGGAAAAATGGTTCAGGCGAAGACGCAACCTAGAAATCCCAACTCTGCATAAAAAATTCAAGGAAGCTTGGTAAGAAAAGAGCCCACTCTCCTCTATTCTCTGTTTCTAAAAAAAGAAAAATCTTCTCAGGTAGAAAAATAGCCCGAAATTTGACATTTAATGGCATTCTGGGTATTGTATAACCAGATATTTCCTTTGTTGTCAGTCAACATAAATTCATAATATTATCGAACTACCTATCTCAGGTCCTTGGGATGGACTTGATAAGTGATTAAAAAGGTCAAATCCAGTCCAAACATCTGGCAACCAACAACAACAACAATAATAATATAACTAGTATTATCCTGTTATCAGTGAGCCTTGTCTTGCAAATTCTCCATTGATTATATTACATTACAGCTTCGAACGCAAAATTGCAGTTGCCATCTTGACTTTTTTAACCGTCTCCAACCAACCTTGTATGCACTGAAGCTGTAGTTTGAGTTTCCAAAGGCAAATCTGAATATGAGGATTAGAAATTAATTTATTCTTCTGTTCTAATTATTTCCATATCCTGTGCTTCCTCTCGAGCATGTGTGTGTGTGTCTGTGTAGATAATACCAATTTATTCCTATAATGGAATGACAATATAAAGCTTGGTGGTCTCTGAGCTTGGTTGTTTTCTTGCAAGCATTTCATCCCCCAAACTAGATAACATCATCAATGCTAGTTAGTTAGCCAGACTAGCTAGCACTGATGGTGCTATTTAGTTTGGGAAAAGAAATATTTGCAAGAAAACAACTAAGCTCAGAGAGCACCACAAATGCCATATTTCAACCCTACCTACAAATAGTTTCTGTCAATACTCTGGCTTATTTTGAACTTAGACTTCAAAGTGGCTCAAATCACTGTAGTTAATATAAATAATAATGATGAGGCAAATTCATGCAGGAAGAGAGAGAGATGGTTTAAACAGGCAGTACTGTTTTCCTAGCTAAGAAGATTAGACCTGTTCTATCTTTACCATCTTCTTCTGTGTCCATGTGAACTCCTTGGTCCTAACATTTATTTTATTTCTTTGCAGTTGGCGATGTTTATTCTACAGTACTTCATTTATTGCTGGAATTATATTTCTCTGTGATGTAAGTTAAATATGGAGCTGGGAGGGAGGACTCCAGTGGTAACATGGTCTAATCTGAGGTTGTTTTTTTAACAGCAGCTTCCCATGAGTTGTTAAACTTGGGTTAGGATAAAGACAAATGCAATCTCCCCCAAAGGAGGATAAGCTTCTACTTCTACTGTTTTTTATTTTTATTTTTATTGTTGCTTTGTTGTTGTTGTTTTGTTGTTATTATTATTATTATTATTATTGCTATTGTTATTATTGCTGCAATTTTCTTTGTTATATATAAATTTTCCATATCTACAATGGCACTGTACTGTCTGGGTACAATCTCTTTTAAATACAAGTAATAAACCTTATGCATACAATAACTACAACTATTCTCAAAATCTATCCACCATGATCTTCACTTATTAAACATTTCCCCTTATTTAATTAAACACTCTATTCAGCTTTATCTATATACTTGGTTAATAATATCAAACATTACAAACATAGGAAATCACATTTATAACCATGATCCTCTAATTCTGTTCATCATCAGGTTTACTTATCCTAATTATTCTATATTTCATTATTTAGTTACACATTTATTTCATCTTTGTTTCCATAACCTCTTCCGTTCTAAATGTCTACTGTTATTATCCAGATAGAGTCATTGTGATAATCAGGAATTTCTCATTTTGAGGCAGGAGGGAGGTTTTTTTCATTTTTGTTTGAAGAATTAAAATTAAGAGAATTAAACCAGATGAGGCATTAAGCAGGAACTGTACCCGCATATTTGCACTGTAAGAAAATGAACCGTGAGGGAAGAATTTTTGGACTTCCGTGGTCCTATAATTCCATAATTCTTAAAGACACAGATGTCTTGCAGCCCAGCTTGGCTGTCTTCATGCAATTGTCTTGGCAGTTTTATCAAAGCCATTTGCCAACACTTTAATGAATTGGAGGTTACACAAAGTTCTGCATCCTCTTATTAGAGAACCCTTATCTAAAACAAGACATGGAAACTCCTGGTGTGAACTTGGGCCAGCCAGCCCCATCTGAACAATCTACCTCACCGTCCTGTTGTGGGGATTAAAAAATTAAAGGGGGAGACCCCTGGAAGCTGCTTGGGCTTCTGACGGACAGATGGGACAGCAAACTAATAAGTCAACAGCAAATAAATGACTATTAAAAATGCTAATGGAAAAATTCTGGACTGGGACACTCTCCAAAGAGAACCTTGGCTTTGCCCATATTGTAGCGGCTTCAATACCAAGAAAACATTTTTCTTTAAAAAAACAAACTTATTTTTCAATTTCTCAGGATCTTTACAATCAAAACACTTGTTCAGTTCTCTGGGGCCATTCTCAGGATGTTAGTCTATCGATTCAGTCCTGCTACAGCTCTATTATGCTCATTTCCTGTCCCGCTGCTAATTATCAACCTCTTTAGCTTTTACGGTTTAAGGAATCAGGTTTATATTAACCTCTTTATTATTTTAAACCTTGCAAAGAACATCTAGCATTGGGCTATATTGTAGACGAATAAATCTGTCAGTAAGAAAGCCTGATTTGCTTGCGGTTAACATGCTTCTCCTTTTGAGGATCCACTTGTGAATGAATCATTTCACATCCATTTTTGCATTTTCTAGGTACATTACAGTGCATGGCTATCTATCTATCTATCTATCTATCTATCTATCTATCTATCTATCTATCTATCTATCTATCTATCTATCTATCTATCTATCTATTAGCAGACTGGATTCACAGAGATTGCCTGGATAAGCTCTACAGCTTTTTATGGAAAGGTTTTCCAGAAGTGGTTTAACCATTGCCTCCTTCTTAGGGTGGAGTGTAAGAGTTGCAGATTACAGGATAGTATTTTTCTGAAACCAAATTGTTTATTAGAGAGTAGTTTGTTTGTCTCTAAGTGGAGGATAATGGATTGGTTAATAATTGATTCCATTACTTTACAGATAACACAGCATAAAGAGATTGGTCTATAAATTTCAACTAGGCTGGGGTCTCCCTTTTTGAAGATGGGGATGACCGTGGCTTGTGACCATAGGTTAGGCAAGGAACTGGTTCTGAAAGATTTTTCAAAAATTATGCCTAGAGGTTTGGCTATGGCAGTGGATAGCTTTTTTAAGAAGTAGGCACATATTCCATCCAGTCCAATAGATAGAGATGGTTTTAGATTGTGTAATGCTTTTTCAACATTGTCTTCTGTAAAATCAATACTTATTAGATCATTGTAGCTGTCTGTTGTTCAACTAGGAAATACTGGGCATGATCCATTGCTGTTTACAAATACTGAGCCAAAGAATGTATCAAAGAGGTTGGCTTTAATGTTGTTGTTGCAGTCTTTACTATTAGGTCCTTTCAGGGGTGGGATGGACCTTAAGTCTTTTAGTTTGTTGTTTACAAAATTGTAGAAAGCATGGGTGGAATTGGTATATAGAAGGTTTTCCTCTTGTTTAATGTGATAATTGGTGCATTCAATCTTTATCTAGTGGCATAAATTTTTGTATCAGCTTTTGAAGTTGGCAATGTGACCAAATTTGTTTTTTCACCAAAGTGGTCTCTTTTTGGATTGAAGCTTCCTTATTGTTATGGGTAATTTGTTTTTTTCTGGTTTTGGGAGTTGTTATTGGTACATATAGATTGATGACTCTTTTGACTTCAAGTAAAAATATGTTGTAATGGTCTTCAACAGTATTGCATCCAGTGAATAGAAATTGCCAATCAAGGGATGAGAGATCGCTGTCTATAAGATCATGTGGAAACACTGATCGTTGTTTTCTGTCTCCTTCTATATTCCTTCTAGAAATCCTGGTTTTATGACCTTTGGCAAGTATGGCTCAACTATCCAAACCACGTGAGTGTCTTACTGGTTCTTTGGAGATACCACTGTTGACTTTGTGTGAAGAAATATTCCTGCCTTCATTTTTGATGGCCCATAAATAGCTTTTTTCACCATTCGGGATTGCAGATTCCAGTAGCATAGGATTCCCTTAGGGGAAGGTGGTAAATGAAGTGTTCTCATGTTGTCATGAGCTGCTACCATGATGAAACAAATAAGAATCAGCAGATCACAAACAGTGTCCTAGCTTCAACATACATCAATAGGAATACTATTATTGCTGATATTACTAGAATGCACTGCATTAGACATATTAGGTATAATCCACCTCCAATCAAATCATAAGTCTCTAGCCATATCTCTCAGAGAAAAGAAAATTGATTTATTAGAAGTGGCCATGTTGGTGTTATCTGGATGCACCCAACACTAAAATACATCATTCATTTCCCCCATGACCCTGGTCTTCCGCCCACCCACCGGATGTATATTCTCCAATGGGACACATCCATAGCCAATCATGCTCTCCAGCAATAATCTTATGCTCCAGCAACATTGGGCTGCCAGGACGATTATCTAGGCATTTGAGGAATGCACTGTTTTCCCCTACTCCCTTTCTGCTGGAAGCTAAAAAGACCAAAGGAGTATCTTTTTAGTTGACATTAGGTTATGTTTGCTTCCTTGAGTGATATAGGTAGCCCTCATTTTACAATGACAGGCCTACCAGGTCCGTTCTGGCTATAGGGAGAACTCAAAGGTACGATGGTGATAAATCTTCTTAACTGGAACTTAATTGTATAAGCCTGATTCTTCATGAGGTTAATATCAGGTGTGATGAATCAGGACTATGCTTTAAGTTCCAGTTAAGAAGATTCATTGCTCATGCCTAGACAGAAGAATCTAGTCAACTAAAAGTCAGCATTAAATTGGTGCTAATTAAGATTTAATGGGATTCAAGGAGGGCTGGACTGCTTGTGTGGATGTATTGATTCCAAACTGATTCCTCTCTTGACTCTATTCCCCAGGCTCTGCTCTTCTTCTAGTATTTATTGTTCCAATCTTTGTTTCATTAGAATAGATTAGATTAGATTAGATTAGATCTAGGGTAGGGTAGAGTAGAGTAGGAAATCTTTATTGGCTAAATGTGATTGGACACAAGGAATTTGTCTCCGATACATAAGCTCTCAATGTACATAAAAGCAAGAAGTGATAAATCATGATCATAATCCTAAAATACAATCAACATAATAGGAAACTATATAAAAGCAATCAACATAAATCTTATGATGCCAACAACAAAGTTATACTCATAAGGTGCCAAAGGAATAGTCAATAAGAAAGTTGTGAAGAATAAGACTGTAGTAATGCAGCTCTACTCTGTGGTTTGACCTTCCAGGGCATAACACATGTGGTGGGAATTAGGTCTTTAGCAGTGATGTCATGGGTGGAAAAAAAACTGTTCTTTGTCTAGCTGTTTTGGTGTGCAATGTTCTATTATCAGCACTTTCTCTCCTGCTCTGGAACAAATGTACTCCCTCTCTAACCAAAAACGTAATTGCCTTTTCTCTTTTCACACTCTCTTTGCAGCCCATGCTCCCCTCCCAGTATTGGTACTACATGCTCCAAATGAGCTTCTATTGGTCATTGCTCTTTACTCTTGGAACTGACACTAAAAGGAAGGTAAGGAGGATTGACAACGTCATCTGTTTGGGGGATGGGATGCAAGCGATTTTCAGTTCCTGGTTTCCCGGATGCTAGATAACTGTTAGGAAGACACATATATAGCAGACTGAGTCCTTTGTAAATGTAATAGCCATTCTTGTTCTGAAATTCAGGGTGGCTTAGATTATTTGTAACATTGGGCACCACTAAAGTAAATAAAAAAGTCACAATCAGCTTTGATTTACTCAATTATCTTCTAAACAACCTTAGGTCTTTCTTCTTGTCATTCTCTTATGCCTGTAAAATTGGCTTGCCTCCAAATTAAGCTATGCCCCCTCCCCCGTTGCCCATTACAGCTGTTTTCTTGCAGAATATCTTCTACTCCTCCTCATTTCTTACTCATCCAAGTGACGTGCACCATTTCCCACCATTATTTTTCAACAAGATTCAAAAAGAACAGGTCTTTATACATACAGTATAAAGGCTTTGCTGTGGTGGGGGGGAGAGGGGAGGTGATGGTTCAGCCATTAAAGATGCTGAGCTTGTTATCTGGAAATGTGACAGCCTGGGTTCAAAACCCAAGTCCTGCATGACTGGGTGAGCTTCTGATACTCACCTCAGTTCCTCAGCTCCTGCCCATCTAGCAATTTGAACGCATGCAAATGCAAGTAGATAAATAGGTACCACTTGGGTGGGAAGGTACAGTAACTGCATTCCGTGCACCTTGGGGTATAGTCACGTTGTCCACACAACCACAGAAATGTCTTTGAACAATGTTGGCTATGTTCTGACTGAGGCTGCCTGCGACTGTAATTAAACACATGCTTAGTCCAAAAAACTCTTGTTTTATTTCAGTGCTGGGAATTATGCTTATTCTCAGCCTGTAATGAGTCCCAAACAGTCCCTCAAGATAAGCACCCACCTTTCTCTCCTTTGAATTGCTGCCAACAACAAAAGAGCCAAATTAACTGTAAAAAACCAACCGAAGTACAAAGTCCAAACAGAGTTTCAAGGTTTAATCCGAACAGAGCGAGCAACTTTGTTTCCTGTAAAGGTTTCTCTACCTTTGTACTTTCTTTATACCTTAGGGGAGGGGCAATCACCTCCAAGACTTACTCCCGAGTCACCCCTTTTGTCTTAGCTGCTCTTGCCTTCTAGCAGTTCTGCGCACACGCGCACTGGGAACAGGCTCCCCTTGTTCATCTGCCTCGCTGCTGCCAGACTCCGGAGGCAGCACCCCACTCCCAGATGGTCCTGGCCCCATTTCTGCATCAGATGCAGGACTGAGTGCTCTCCAGATTCCTGGACTGGTCCCCGTTCTTCCCCACTGTCCGATTCCACTGCCTTCTGCACAGGCTGCCAGCAAACCACAACAGGCTACCTCGGGCAAGAAACAGAGATGAGCACTGACCCTTAGAGCCAGACATGACTGTACAAGGGAAGCTTTTACTTTTTATGGCCAGGGGTCCCCAACTCCCATTCTGTGGACCAACATTTCAATACAACTTCAATACGACTTCAGCAACAGAGTGGTCACTGTCTGGAATACTCTACCTGACTCGGTGGTTTCTTCCCCAAACCCCAAAAACTTTAACCTTAGACTGTCTACTATTGACCTCACCCCCTTCCTAAGAGGTCTGTAGGGGGCGTGAATAAGCACACCAATGTGCCTACCATCCCTGTCCTATTGTTTCTTTTATTTTTTTTATTTTTCTTATATGTGTCCATGTATTCATAACTATGTTTTTACTTATACCTATTATCTTGTAAGCAATTGACAAACCAAATAAATAAATAAATAAACACCAGTCCGTGGCATGCCAGCAACTGGACAGCGCAAACAAGTGAAGCTCCATCCACGGGATGCAGGCAGCACACGAAATCGCTACCCTTCCTCTCCATGGAAAAACCTCTCTCCACGAAACCAATCCCCGGGGCTGTTGTTTTATGGCTTTGAAGCAATTAAATCAGTGGTGGGATTCAGTGAGTTTGCACCAGTTCAGGAGAACCAGTTGTTAATTTTCTGAGCAGTTTGGTGAACTGGTTGTTGGAAGAAATCATTAGGGCAGAGAACTGATTGTTAAATTATTTGAATCCCACCACTGAGTTAAATAGATGAGTTCATTATTTTCATCGACTCATCCAGAATCCTTTTGGGCACGTTGGTTTTGGGCCCTCCACCCTAATTTTCCTAAGACAGAGCCAACCCTCTCCGTCTTCCAATATCTTCTTGGCTTTAAGAAGTCCATTTCTCCATTTCTTTTCCTTAGGATTTCATGGCCCATGTGGTGCATCATTTTGCTGCCCTTGGCTTGATGTTCTGTTCCTATAGTGCCAATTACCTCCGTCTTGGAACGCTGGTGATGATTGTCCACGATTCGGCAGATATCTGGCTGGAGGTAAATCTCAGCATCTGTCTGTGCTTGTGCTTAGTTATCCAAGTCCCAGAATTTCGTTAGTATTGTTTTTCATTCATGGTAGTATATGGAGGAGCAACGTCTGAGCCCTGAGTCTGAATGATGAGCTATCCTAACAAGCCCTGACACGAAACATTGGCTCATTCGGTCCAGAAAAAAACATACCTAGTGGTCTTCTATCCAAAAAGAAACTACGTCCTGAGTTAACCCAACTCATTTTCCCCCACTCCCCCCAACAGCCAAGGTTGTCTCTCAGTGTTGCTACCTAATTGAACACCAACTTTGAAACCAGTTCTATGAACACAAATCTTCAAGACTTTGTCCTAAACTATTTTTGTCATGGGGATCTGATCTTCAGCCCTATTATCGGGAAGTGGTGTTACATCTCATAGACCAATCCCTATAATTGAGATATAAATATTGTACTACAGCTAACAACTAGCAATATTTTTGGATCAAATGTCCAGCATCACATTGGGTAATCACCCCCCCCCAAAAAAAAGTATCACTTCCTAAAGTTATGAGGAAAATAATAAAAATGGATTCCTCTTTGATTAGGGTTGAGGGGAAATATATATGTATCTTGGTGTGTGTGTGTGTGTGTGTGTGTGTGTGTGTGTGTGTGTGTGTGTATAAAGAGAGAGAGAGGGAGGGGGGGAGGGAGGGAGGGGGGAGGGAGGGAGAGAGAGAGAGAGAGAGAGAATAATATATTTATTTCAATAGATTTACATTCATTGAAGACATTTTTACAGAATAAAAATAATATAAATTTAAAGAAGGAAAAGAAAACTAGAAAAAAGCTGTAAGTATACAAGTAAGAAATAAAGGGGAAAACAAAGAAAAAAGAAAAGCTGAAAAAAGATATAAAGAAGCCACTTCCAACCTTTGCTAGAGCTGTTCTAAAGGCAATTTATATTTTATCCTGAGAAGGAACTTCACTGCCACAACTTACCAAGTATATTTTTTCCCCCAACCAGTTCCAGATGGTCCTTTTTCATGAGATCATCCCAAGGTAGTAATTTCTCTCCCAATTGTTCAATTTCAGGCTGCAAAGTTGTTCAACTATGCTCACTGGGACAATACCTGCAGTGTTCTGTTTGTCATTTTCGCAGTGGTGTTCTTCATCACACGGCTCATTCTCTTTCCATGTTGGTAAGTTGCGTTGAGGATTGTTGGGCTTGAAAATTGTGACCTCTGGGTGCTGCACCTGTTCTTAGCAAACACCTGAGAAACAAATGACTCTCTAGATGACTCATGTTTGCCAGACATATTCATAACCCATATGAATATTTATGCTTCAATTTAGGGATGGAGAAATAACAACAGCTAATCATCCAACTGTTTCTTTTTCTCCTCTTGTTTTCCTAACAGGATTTTACGGGCCTCGATATATTATCCTGTGTTCTATACCCAGACACTTGTCATCGCATATTTTGTATACAATGGGCAGCTATTGATCCTGCAAGGTCTTCACCTCTATTGGGCCTACTTGGTTTTCAAGATTCTGAAGAAATTCATTTTTGTGAAGGTAAGGATGGACTTCAGGATCCTTCTGATGGAAGCCGATTATGGTTATGTTCTACTAGAAATTGGGGAGTTCTAAAAGAACTGAGTGCTATATCAGTCTTTCATAATATAAAGTTCCCTTTCATAAATTCACAAACTCTTCTGGTCTTGCAGGCTTAGCTATCTAGAATGAAATGGGATGGGATGGGATGGGATGGGGTGGGGTGGGGTGGGATGAGAGGGGAGGGGAGGGGAGGGGAGAGAAGAGAAGAGAAGAGAAGAGAAGAGAAGAGAAGAGAAGAGAAGAGAAGATAGGATAGATTGAAATAGAGGAGAGGAGAGGAGAGGAGAGAATAGAATAGAATAGAATAGAATAGAATAGAATAGAACAGAACAGAACAGAACAGAACAGAACAGAACAGAACAGCATAGCATAGCATAGAGGATAGACTAGGACAGAATAGAATAAAATAGAAACAGTATAGAGTAGAGTAGAGTAGAGTAGAGTAGAGTAGAATAGAATAGAATAGAATAGAATAGAATAGAATAGAATAGAATAGAATAGAATAGAATAGAATAGAATAGAATGAAACAGAGTAAAGTAGAGTAGAATAGAATAGAATAGAAGGTAGGGTAGGGTAGGGTAGGGTAGAGTAGAGTAGAATTGAATTGAATTGAATTCTTTATTGGCCAAGTGTGGTTGGGCACACAAGGAATTTGGCTCTGGTGCAAAAGCTCTCAGTGTACATAAAAGCTATAAGTGATAAATCATTATCACAGAAAAATTGCCTTTCCCTGGGCCAACCCAGCATCTTGCATCTTGGTTGTTGTTTATTCTATAACCAGTTACCCTTTCCAGGTGCTCAGTATTCCTATACCAGCTTGGGCTAAAATAGACAATGACAAGGTAAGCAATGTGAGATCTATGCATGCTTTATCCAGAGATGTTCAGTCTTGGATATTTAAGATGAGAATGGCTATGGTCCTTGTGAAAAATCAACCAGAATCTCTGGATCAACACAAATCACTTTCCAGGTTCTTGCAAAATTAATTTCTAGTGATTAATATACTATCCAGTCATCTCCTGTGGAGATGCAATTCATTCTCTAAATGGGTTCTTGATTGATGGTCTTGATTCTAGAAATCACTTTTCTTCACAATCAAGTTTTTCAACTGTTTCCTCCAGTAGATGGAAGACCAACTCTTAATCATCATTAAAAAAAACATATTGGCCTGTTGAGTCTAATATAATTGGTAGACTTCTTATCTCAATCTTGACTTGGCTTGAGGGAAGAATGTATTTCCATACTGGAATGGTGGATCGTCTTAAATTCTCTTTTTTCCCTCTTCTGCTTTGGCTGTCATTGATGTTCAGAGATCCAACAGATTTCTCAGATAATTTCCTTTACTTTACAACACTGATCACTTTCTTTGGATCATGTTCTCATTAAATGCAGGGTCGAATGGGCAATGTTGATCTTGGTCTTTACAAACAAGTTCTTTGTGTCTCAGGTGTTTCAACAAGACCATTGAGTAAAAGACTACTTTTTATATATTCTATATTCCTTAAATTTCTGTGAAGCATACAGGAAAAGAGGTCACCATGGCAATGCATGTGCCTAGAGTTGATGAATTGATGACATTGTCAGATATCAATGCCATTTTGTTACAAGGGCCATTCACAACTTTACCTCTTGTTTAACCTTCCTGTATTTCAACTTTGCTAATTATGGATGTATTTTGCTGTTCACTTTTTCCAAACCAAACATCTATTAATGTGCTAGATCCCTTGAGACATCCTAACCAGACTCCAGAATGGGTCTTTCCAACCTATTTTCACTTAAGCCAGAATAATGTTTCCACCAACTGCAAGCCAATCGCTTCCAGCAGATACACATGAATAGTGTCCCCTCCCCCCAAAAAAAATCCCCATAGATTTTTCTCTGCTTAGAACAGAGAACCTTAGAACAGAATCATTAATAGGGATGATCAGTCCCTGAGAAATTTCCCTTAGACACCATGCAAATTCTTGTTATCTCCACATCTCGTGGAAGTTGCTTTTTCATAAGCGAATTGAACATATAAAGTCAAACTATTTGAAACCCTCTTTTTGGAGCCTTTGTCTATTACACACAGAGAGAAAGAGCTTTGTAACTTCTAATTTGAATCTGCAAAATCCAACGGAGAAACCTTTCTTGGATACATGGAAAAGACACATCAGGATTCAATAGCTTTTTCCTCCTTGTTGGGAGAATGTTGAGTGCATCTAAATAGCAATAGCACTTAGACTTATATACCGCTTCACAATGTTTTACAGCCCTCTCTAAGCGGTTTATAGGGTCTACATATTGCCCCCTACAATCTGGGTCCTCATTTTTATCAATCTCAGAAGGATAAAAGGCTGAGTCAACCTTGAGCTGATGAGAATCGAACTCCAGACTGTGGGCAGATTTAGCCTGCAATCCTGCATTCTAACCACTGTGCCACTAGGGCTCATAAAGAAATAACATATAAGAGACAGATGGGCTAATGTCTCCTCCTTTTCTTCCTTCACAAATTATCTTTATTTGAAGGGTGCACAATCCCTCACCAGTAACCGGAAATGTATAGATCCTATTTTTTTTTATGTTAGAATTTGATCCATCCACATTATGGGGAGACTGTCACTAACTCAGCGCCATTTTGTATATTGTTTAAAATCTAGTGTTCCTTTCCTTCTCCCCCACATTATTTTGGCTATAAACTTCTTCAGTTCAGTTTCCCAACCAGATCTCAAAACGCTGTTGAACTGACTACAGTTTCTCTGCGAAAATGTTTTTGAAAAATCTCCATGACACTCTAAATCCCTCCAACATCTGGGTGGCTCTTTAAAAAAAAAAATTGGGAAGATGGTGTCACTTCCTCTTAGTCAGCCAAGGATTTAAACAAGTGGAATCTTTCTGTAAGCGTCTAGAATTCCATTTCCCCCCTCCCTGTCTTTTTCTTTAGACAAAATGGTTACGTTTTTTCTACAACTTCCTTCTGTAGAAGGCTGGAATTCAGAGGTGGTATTCAGCAGGTTCTGACCGGTTCTGGAGAACCAGTAGTGGAAATTTTGAGTACTTTGCAGAACTGGCAAATATCACCTCTGACTGGCCCTGCCAATCCCATCTATCCTCTGCCTCCCGAGCCCAAGCTGATCGGCTGACTCAATGGGAGGCAGAGAATAGAGTGGGACAGAGCCAGTCAGAGGTGGCACTTGCCGGTTCTCCAAAATACTCAAAATTTCTGCTACCGGTTCTTCAGAACCGGTCAGAACCTGCTGAATATACCACCTCTGATATACATAGAAGAAAGTTTCAAAGGGTTATAGGAATGTGCAAGCCTACAATTTCTCTTTGAATCCATCCAATTACAGTACCCAGTAGGATACACTAAACTTTATTATCTCAATTATTGTTTGGATTGGTTTGGATTAGCTTTAAGGTGGCCAAATTCTCATAACAAAGAACCCTTTAGCTCAATTCAAAGCATCATTTTAAGGTTGGAAAAGGCACTTAAAACAAGGCTAAAAGTCTCCGTATGCTGTCCTTTGTTTTACTTGCCAAGAATGGATTTATAATTGGATTAACTCAGAAAGCAGTGGGACGTTGGGATTCATAGATGACCACCTGGGTTTTTGACATGCATCCAAGGACCTGTGCCCTGGGGGACTTATTGAATTTCAGTAACATAGTTAACAGAATTAATGAAGTCTGCAACTGGTATTAAAAAAAAACGGTTTAGTTTACCGTCATTAGCTCTCCACTGGATTCAGCCAAATGATAATGAAACATACCAGAAATGAAGCATTGTGGTTTGGCAGATATAAGAAGTGATAATATTGGAGGCTGATCTTTGTTTCAGGAAAGGTGTGAACACGCCATGAGTTAGAAAGGAGAAAGGCAAATTAACACAGTTCGTTTGGGTAGAAAAGTACAAGACACTTTTCCTTTTGTTTGTTCTTTTGGGATCATCCCAAATCAGGATTAGTGGCTGTTTTATCATTTGCAGGTAGTCCTTGATTTACAACAGCTCATTTAGTGGCTGTTTCAATCAGGAGGTTTTGAGTTCAATCCTGGGTAGAGGCAGATATTTGTCTTTCTGGGCACACTGAGAATGTATCTGCTGAACAAAACTCTGCATTAGTGACAGGAAGGGCATCCGGCCATTAAAAAAACTCTGCTAGCTTCATTCAGTTGCCTGCAAGGGATTATGGGGTCATTAAATGAAGATGATGATTTAGTGACTGTTTCAAGTTACAAATGCACAGAAAAAAGTGGCTTTTTTGCCACACTTCTGACCATTGCAAGTAACCCCATGGTCATGTGATCAAAATTCAGACACCTGGCTACTGACTCGTATTTATGATGGTTGCAGAGTGTCCCAGGGTCATATGATTCCCTTTTGCAACCTTCTGACAAGCAAAGTCAATGGGAAAGCCAGATTCACTGAACAGTGTTGCTAACTTAACTGCAGTGATTCACGTAACAACTGTGGCAAGAAAAGTTGTAAAACAACAAACATCTCATTGAGCAATCGACATTTTGGGCTCAATTACCATAAGTCAAGGACTACCTGTATAGAGATTTAAATTCTTATGGTAAAGGTAAAGGTTCCCCTCACACATATGTGCTAGACGTTTCTGGCTCTAGGGGGCGGTGCTCATTTCCGGTGCTCAAAGCCGAAGAGCCAGCGCTGTCCGAAGACGTCTCGGTGGTCATGTGGCCGGCATGACTAAATGCCAAAGGGGGCATGGAACGCTGTTACCTTCCCATCAAAGTGGTCTCTATTTCTCTACTTGCATTTTTACACGCTTTCGAACTGCTAGGTTGGCAGAAGCTGGGACAAATAATGAGAGCTCACTCGGTTACACGGCATCAGGAATTCAAACTGGTGAACTGCCAACCTTTCTGATCACCAAGCTCAGCATCTTAGCCACTGAGCCACCACGTCCCTACAGGGCTTATAAATTCTACAGGGCCTATAATTCTATATATACACTTCCTTTGGCATAATACCCATTCTAACTAAGGGAATTCACTTTTGAGTAGAATGGAGTGGAGTGGAGTGGAGTGGAGTGGAGTGGAGTGGAGTGGAGTGGAGTAGAGTAGAGTAGAGTAGAGTAGAGTAGAGTAGAGTAGAGTAGAGTAGAGTAGAGTAGAGTAGAGTAGAGTAGAGTAGA